GATAATTCAATGGGGATCCATGAATTTAGTACTTAGTCCATATATACTTGGAGAGGAAAAGATATTGGAGTAAAAGAATTTAATTGAGATTGAAGTTCTAGTCAATTATATCAACAAAATTGTTTCATTACTTGAATAAGGAAGGAAAATGGGATAATGGGAGAAAGGAAAATCACATGATAGGAGATTGGGAGTTCATGTTAAAATGGACTTGGGGTGTGCAATGCGTGTACAATGATTCATTAAGTTTTTAGAAAGTTGTGATTATATATGTGAGCGTGTGTCTAGTATATAATTTTATTGAACAAGGATATTTGAACTATTTTATGTTTTAGTGTAGATGAATCATTTTTTAATTCTGTGTGCACAAGATTATTTTAAGTGAAAAGAATAGGTGATTTTATAGCTTATCAACTAATGTAGGTGTCATGAATGTGAGACACTCCAAAAAAAACAAAGAAAGAAAGAATCAATAGATGCTGACATGAATCTCATCCAACATCTAGATCATAAATTTGTGATGAAAATTTTTACCAAAAAAAATAATAAATAGATAAAAATTTTAAACACTAAGTCTTTCTTTTTGGGGGGGGGAGGGGGTTCAACTGGAGGCCTAACTACCAATTAATAATAGCACAATCAAGGAAACATTCATAAAATTTGTTGATAATAGAGGCTTAGGAAATAAAGCGCCCCAAATTGCAAATTCAAATTCTAGGAGATCAACGCAAGAATTGCCTTTTCTCCAGTATTGAGAACGCTTGCATTGCCAATTACTACTTAGAAGTTCCCAATTTTCTAACATCAGGTTGAAAACTTATGATGAGCATCTGCATAATTGACAAGTTGAATGTTTATGTGAGTGCCCGACACAACTTCAATATGTTGAAATAGAATTTTTAGTGAGTCAAATCAAACTAAATACTTAGCGTTGAAACTTTGTTCATATAATATTGGGCAAAAAACTCCAACGGCCATTAAACTATTGTCAGGATCATGTTTTGGCCATCGAACTATTTTTCGTCAATAATTGGCCACTGAACAACTTAATCAATAAATTCGTGGCCATTTCGTTGATAATGACTCTTAATTTCTAAAATTAGCAAGACACGTGGCAAAGGACAAGGACAATTTTGTAGCCTTCTCAATCTTAATCACTCTATCATCGCCACCCTCATTTTCCATGTGCAAAAAACAATCTAACACTAAAACAGAAGCCTCCCTCACCGGAATCATGGGGAATCCTTAGTATAAGCTTTACTCCCTTGCAAAAAAAAAAAAAAAAAAATCTCCCAGAGCATTCCAGAACCAATTTTGCTGGATTAGGCAAGAGTTCCAATGCTTTTGGAACTTCTTCTCGGAGTTTATCCGGTTCTCCAATATTAGTTACCATGTATTTCTGAAGCCCTCTGCTAGACATTAATGTACAAAGGCTTTCCAGCTCTGATTGACATGATTTCCCATTTCCTTTTTCTTTTTCTTTTTCTTTTACTGGAGAAGGGCTTGATGGTGGTCGGGTAGAGGTGGGCGGAGGGAGGGGAATAATGGGTAAAATTTCACGGGGTAGGGAGGAAAGATTATTTTTGGAGGGATAATTGGGAATCAAGAGTGGAATTAATGGAATCGAGGTGAGCTTGGAGGTCGTAATAGCAACTGTTGAAGGCTTCAAGGGCAGCGGACAGGTCGCGGAGATAGGTGATTGAACTGAGAAAAGATGGGGCTAACGGAGGATATGACGAGGTTTGTGATGGTCGAGATGGGAGAGAAGTGATGGAGGTGGGTTGTGGCTCTTGGTTGATAGGGGTGCCAGTTTCTGGTTGCGGAGGTGATGGATTGGGATCATGTTCAACCTTGATAGGAAGAAGAATAGGTTCCGTTACAGCCGGCTGCGCCATGGGAACGATGGTTGATGGCTGTTCGCGAGAGTACAAGGATTTGACTGAATAAGTCGAGCATCAAAAAAAGAGCCAATTAGTGGGATTATACATCCCTGTTGTCTCTATCTGCTCAGGGGTCCTCTTAATCCACTTGGGAGTCTGAGCCCAAGAGCCCTGGTTGCGCCTCAACTGGCTTAAGTACTGGGCTTTGGCTTTGATAATCCGGCGAGCGTTGTCGTCGGAAAGCTGATTCTTGGGGTTCTTGGACTTGGGTTTCAGCTTATTGACTGCACAGCGGCAGCAGAAAGTGGTGGCATTTGATCTGTAAATTGTTGGACAAAATTGTCCCTGTCCTGCTAATTTTAAAAATTAAGAGTCATTATCAACGAAAAGGCCACGAATTTACTGATTAAGTTGTTCAGTGGCTAATTATTGACAAAAAATAGTTTGATGGCCAAAACATGATCCTGACAATAGTTTAATAGCCGCTGGTGTTTTTTGCCCTATAATATATGAACAAAGCTTTTAATGACTCGAATCAAATTAAATATTTAGTGTTCCAACTTTATTCATATAATATATGAAAAGGATCTCGAGCTCAATTCGAATATTATATATAATCAAACATTTTTTTAACTCAAACAAGTTGAACAAGAACCTGTGAAAAATTCAATTCATTGAAAGTTCAATATCAAAGTCCCAAATGCCATGCCAAAGTGCTTACAATTCAATTGCCAAGCTAGATGCATACCCTGTGTTTCCAGTAAAACCCATTAGCCAATGTCGTTGATCATTTCGGAGAATGCCCCGCCACAGGCTACACCAAGCCAAGGTGTCCTAATTCCCAAAGCTGATCCATGAATGCTGAGTTTTAACCCAACCTAGTTGAGGAAATTTACACCTTAGGAGAACATCTTTCTTTCTGGTTTGGATTTCTATTTTTAGAATTTTTTTTGTAGAAAAATATGCCGATTTGATATATATGAGATAAAAAAAATAATTAAAAAATATGTTCATAGAAAATGTAAAATTTTTTCTGCTAAAAACCACAAAATTTTAACAAATTTTTAACTTTGAAGTCTGATGCCCAATCTCCTGCAAATTTTCAACTATCAGGCCCAACCATGTAATGATGCAATTGGAGATGGGCCTAGATTCGACTTCAGGGGAATCTGAAACCTTCTTGAAGTACCGAATACTATCTAGCCCAATATCCTCTTTCAGAGGAATCTGGAATTTTCGAATCTTGTTGTGTTTTCATTTCAGCCATTTTTTTTTCGCTCGGTCCATATTCATTGGGATAAAAAAAAAAGAGAAAGAAAAAAGTCTCCATATTCACATTTTTTTTCATTGTTATTGGCACTCAATTATTCATCAATGTTCCCCTTCTTAGTACTTATATACCATGCCAATTAGGCAACAATATCCCTATTTAATCCCCATTCAATTTTGCTATCAATTACTACATTTCAACCACTGTTTCGTTATGAGATTGTAATTGAAATTAAAATTTTAAGTATTTTGTTGATTCACACAAATAAAAAATGAAGGAGTTATGATGTAAAATACGAGTATCTATAATCTAATTAAAATTGTTTTTTTGTTAATCATTATTTATCAATGTTTTATCTAAATCCTTATTTACAACATCCATTAGGCAACAATATCCCTACACTATTATTGCTTTTCAATCACTATTTTTACTATTAAATTGCAACCAAATTGAAAGTCTAAGTATTTTTAATTTATTCAAGAAACTAAAAAATCAAAATAAGGAGATTACATTAATAAACATAGGTACACCAACAACATATTTGTGAGGGATTACTTCAGAAACCTCCCCTGAAATTTGTCATAATATCACTCAACTCCCTTCAAGTTTTTAAAAACTCACTTATCTCCCTTGTCAATTTGACAAAACTAAATATTCCTATTAAAGATCATAAATTAACAACATTACCCTTACTCTTAATAACTATTTAATCAAAAATCCAAAACAAAATAATATTTTGAAAGCAAAAAATGTAAATTAAAAAAATTGTTGCCTAATAATGGTCTATATTTCTTTACATTAGGATCATAGTGGGATAGCAAAGTACGTGCATAAATTAAATTTAATCAAAATCAATCACTTAAGACGATTTTGGAGAGTAATTAACACTTAAAAATTTCGTGTACATTTAAAATTAAGGAAGTCAAGATACTTTTTGGAGAAATATGTTTTAATTCATGGTGTAGTTTAAGTTGTATTGAAAACTAAAATAATCTCTTCATATGTGTGAATGTTTCAAGGTGTAAATTTTGCTATTTTGTTTCAATACAACTAAAATAAATAGTTTATGTCAAGCAATTTACACCTTATAAAAATTTAATCTTATCTTACTTTTTATTGTTGTTATAAATTCCATAAGTAGGATAACATAAGAGTAGTATTGGAACAAAAGTTTCATCTTTCTTATATTTCCTCCAAACTGATTAAAATGTTAGTACAAGAAATGTCAATTCAAAGGAAGTAAGTGAGATTTAAAAATTTCAGAAAAGTTGAGTGATATTATGAAAATTCTCGGGGGAGGTTTCTAAAATTATCTCTATTTGTGATCCAAAGCTGGAGTGTTTTTTATGTAATTAATTTTTTAAAATAATAATCTATTTTAACAAATCAATTTATTTACCAAATTAGATCTTGTCATTTTTCTCTAAATTTTTTTTATCATTTTTATAAATTTATTTTTAATTATTTTCTATCTCACATATATCAAGTATATTTTTTTGACAAAAAATTAAATAAAGAAAAAACAATTCGAACGGAAGTGTCGAGAAAGTTCTCCAAGCCTACGACTTTGACCACGCACAGCTGTCAGGATTTTAAAAAAAAAATAATTTCAGTAAAAGAAAAATGATTTCTATCGTACCAAAAAAATATCTATAAATGTGGTGGTGGCCAAATTTCCTAAATTAAATAAAGAACCGACTTTGGGGCAATGCGCGTAAGGAAATTTTAGCCCGAGTCCGACAGGGATAAGACCTCTTTTTAACCGTCCAGATAATTGATGACCGCTTAATCCTAGCCGTTCATTCTCTTCCCAAGCATCTATAAATATATCCCTTACCGTCGCCTTGCTTGCGTTTCGTCGTGTGGTAAGAAATCATCTGCTTTATCTTCATCGTGGGTTTTCTTTAGATTCTTTGGTTAGGCTTTCCCTAAATGAGATTTAATTGTTGTGGTTTTTTGTCTCAGCTGAAGGTTAGGATCTTCAGTTGATGATGATCGCTGGGTTCGATCGTTGCTTCTGTGGCTGTGATGATTTGATTAATTTGAAGCTTATTATCGTTAATTTTTTTGATGGTGACTTGTGAGAGTTAATCATGGTTTTTTTTTTTGGCGGTATTTCGAAGGATTGAACGGGAAGGATACCAGTTTTTGCACTAGATTCGGTTTGTTTATGTGGTAATATCTGCATCATGCCAATTATCGGACAAATTTGACATCAAATTTCCTTCAAAATTAGCCCTGTTTTGGTTAAAAAATAGCCCCATTTTGGTTCTTCTTTCTGTTTTTTCTTGCTGTGCTTCTTGTAGAATGATGGATTTCGGGTGGATGGAGTGGGAAGGAACTCTCTGTTGGATGGATGTGAGTGTAATCTGAATCTGGAGTTTTTATTTAATCCATATCTGTGGCTGTTGTTGTTGTTGCGATTGCTGTAAGCGGTGCTCTGGACTTTCGGTAGTTTCGGTAGGAGGATTGATGAGGAAGATTGAGTTTTTACTATTGTTGAGTTTGTTAATTAGTAATTTCTGGATCGTTTTTTGTTATCAAGATTCGTCTTTTCTTTCTCTGGTTCTTTTGATGTTCTCGTGGTGGTGTGGCAGAATCGTAGTTTTCGGTGGGGCTAAAAAAGACTTTCTGGATGCGCATATTATACTACGACACCGGGAGTTCTTCCCTCGTCCCTTATTTTGGTTTCCTTTTTTATTTCCTGAAAAAAGTAACTGGGGAGTCAACTAGTAACTGGCCTTGTCTGTTGTATTGATTTAGGGGAGCTTGGATGCATGAGGGTCTGGTCATGTTACCCTGCTATACTGGTTTGCAAGATTCCTGAGAAGTTTTCTCTGTCCTTAATTGTTTTCAGCTGTTTGACTGGGAGTTTTCTGGCTATAGATACTGATTTGCTCTGTGAGACAGCTGTGTTCATTTTCTGATCTCCTGCATTACTTTGTGTTGTGCAATATAGGGTTTCAGTGATTCGGAGTTGTTGTGACAACTGAGCCTTCCTTCCTTGGATGGTAAACTGTTTTGGAGGGAGTTATCTTCTTACAAACAATCTTGTGCTTTTGTCACCTTTTGATATCTGCAGACCTTTTTTGCCCAGGACAAACACCATTGAAATAGCTTTCAAGCTCTTCATTCAATTTGCCTGCACCTATTTTGCTGCTTCTCCGTCAGAGTTATCTTTGCCCATTTGTTCTTTTTAGGCTTTTGAATTTATTTTGGTTCCATGCCTTCTATATCTTTGGGAATGGTTCTCAGATGCTTAGGATCATATCAATAGGGCAAGATTGATGTAAGTATTTCTTAGCTTTTAAATTCTGGTTCTTTTGATGTGATCTTAGAATGATGGAGTTCTGTGTATGAAAGTAAAAAGAGCTTTTCCTGGATGGATGGAAGCAAAAAGAGCTCTTCTTGGATGGATGAAGGTGATAAATCGAGAGTTCTCTTCTACCAATCAATTCTTTGTTTGTGTTCTTTGCCTAAAACTCACTGGCGTTCGTTGGTAATGGCTTAACTATTGTCTTCATTTTAGGGAAGTTTGGATCGGAGCATTCTCATCATGTTGTTACCTTGCTATTCGGGCTTAACAAGATTTTGGAGGACCTCTCTTTCCCTGCTTGTTTTCTGCTGTTTTGTTGAAGTTGATTAGGACATTTGTGTATTTGCTCTGCTTGTTCTCTAATTTTCTATATTACTAGGGCGTTGCAACTCATTGTTCCAGTGAAGTGATTCGTGATTCAAACTTGTCTTTCCATCCTCAGAACAAGGGCTTGTAAAATTTTTTGGAGGGAGTTATTTTCTGACCGATGCTAATTGTTCTTTTGTGCTTGAGGAATTTAGGAGTTTTGACACCTTATTTATAATATAATTTGTCTGTGCATCTTTTTGGTCTGCAGCATGTCATGCAGAGTCAACTTTCCTGATCCACTATGAATGAATAGAACGGGTTGTAACCAAGTGCATATCTTTGCTATTCAACAGTTTATTTCGGGAAAAACTGTCTATGAATGCTTTCAACCTACCCATTCCATTCACCTAAGGTTAGCATTTTTTTGGCTTTTGGATTTGATGGACTAGCTTAATCCAGGCTTTTCTTTGGGGATGGTTCTGTGCTACTCAGTATATAACAGGAAGTAGATTCCGTCATCAAACATTTTTGTATCGGTGGGGGGTTCCTGGTATCTTGCTTAGTCAGCTTGATCTGAAGAAGAGTTAAGGCTATGCATATTGGTTTGATCGAATGGTAAATTGTCGACAGTTTTTATTTGAGGATAATTCTCATCTTTGTGCCAAGTCTTCTGATCCATTCCTTTACTGAGGGTGGTGACTGGGCCTGGGCTTTTGGATGCCATTCTTCTTAGAATTATGGGATGCGATTCTTCTTGGAATTATGTAATGGATGTGAATGTGATCCTTAATTTTGCTTTCTGCTTTATTTTTGCATTGCCCCTAGATTTGATTGAACAAGGACTTGACGCTAATTACTATGTTTTGTTCTTGGTGATTTTTCAAGATTTGTCTTTTCTTCTTCTGGTTTTTCTGATGTTGTCTTTCAAGAATAGTGGATTTCTGGTGTGTGGAGGCTAGAAGAGCTCTTTCTTGGATGGATGTGAATAAAATCGGGAGATTTTCTTTTCAACATGGTCTTTCTTTGTTCTCTTTGTCTGAAAAAATCACTGGGGCGGTTGGTGATGGCTTCTGTCTGTTGTCTTGATTTTAGGGAAGATTGTTGCAGGAGTGTTGGTATGTTTAACACCCTGCTAACCGGTTTTGGATAAGCTCTCTCTTTCCCTACTCTATTTTTTTTTGGCTGTTTCTTTAAAAATGATTTTCTCTACTTGTTCTCTAATTTACTATATCATTTTGTGTCGAATCTAGGATTTTGGTGATTCAGAGGTGGCCAAAACTTAGATCTCTGTCCTCAGATCAAAGGCCAGTACATTATTATAGAGTGGTTTATCTTCTTACCTATGCGTATCATTCCTCTTTTTTTTGCTTGAGCATTTTACAGGTTTTAGTACTTTTTGATGTCTGCAGACTATTATAAATATAATCTAATTTTTTTGTAAATCTTTTCTTCCATAGTCCATTATGTTTGTAGAAATGCCTTGTGCATTATTTGTTTGGTCAGTAATTGCTCGGAAGTCTTGTGTTCCTGATCCTCGAGGAAAAGGTATCACTGCTTAATCCCAGCAATTAATGGTTGGACACCTTCCGACCTGCCCATTGAATTCACATGCACCCATTTTGCTGCTTATCCCATGCGTTTTCTATCTCTGGCGAATGGTTCTCAGGTGCTTAGGATCTTACCAGTTTGGCGATTTTGATATTCTGAAGTATTTCTTAGTGCTCAAATTCTGCCACTGAACATGTTTTTTCAAGGTAGTTTCTGGTGTTTTGGTGGTTCATCATGATCTCAAGTTTATGCTTGTTATATGAATGGTGGTGGTGTTATGGTAGGTGATCTAAATTTGTAGGAAGTTGGTACTATTGGTTCATTCCATTGTCAGTCCTCATCTTTGTGTCAAATTTCAAATTTTTGTTGGTTATTTGTGTTGCTTGCCGAACTCATAGTCAAAGGGAAGTCTCTGGGATGTGTGTCTTTGTGAATAAATTGGATGGGTCTGACCATAGTGTAAAATCTGGAGGTTTTATTTGGACCTACAGGTGGTGGTTTTGTTGTTACTCTAGGTGGTGGTGCTATAGGTGGTGGCTCTGGGCTTCTAGAAGTTTCTCTATGGTGTTGATTAGGAATTGATCATGAAGGCCTACACTTTCTTGCAGTTTTGCACTATGTTGAGTACTTCGTGAATGGTACTTTTTTTTGTTTTTTGTTTTCAAGATTGTCTCTTCTTTTCTGGTTCTTTTGGTGTGGTTGTCTTAGAATGGTGGTGGAGTTCTGCATGGGCAAAAAGAGCTCTCTTCTCTTGGATAGATGGATGGATGTGGTAAATCAGGAGTTCTCTTGTTTGTGCTGTTTGCCTAAAATTCACTGGTCGTTGTTGGTAACGGCTTCTCTCTGTTGTCTTCATTTTAGGTTAGCTTGATCTCTGGATGGTAGATTTGTTGCCTGTTTTCTAATTTCAGTGAAGTTGGTTCAACTTACCTCTCCATTTTCGGATCGAGGGCTAGTAAACTTTTTTGGAGGGAGTTATTTTCTTGCCTATACTAATTTATCTTTTGTGCACGAGGAATTTAGGGGTTTTGACACTTTATTTATAATTTTTCTGTTAATCTTTACTTATTCTGTCTCCATTATTTGGTCTGGCAGTAATTCCTGCAGAGTTGACTCTCCTGATTCATGAGAAATAGATGGAGGTATAACCAAGTGTGTGTGTGCGCTTATTGTCAACTTGTTTATTTCTAAACCATCTATGAATTGCCTTCTGTCCATTCAATTCACCTGAGTTATTGTACCCAATTGTTCTTTTCTTGGCTTTCGTATTTTGATGGATTGGCTTAGTCCAGGACTTTTCTTTGGGGATGGCTCTGCGGTACTTGGTATCTAATGGGAATTAAATTCTGTCATCTAACATGTCTGTATAGGTAGGGCTTTTTGGTGTTGCTGATTCATCATGGTTTGAAGAAGAATGAATGCTACATTTTTTAGTTCTGATAATATGGTAGATGATCTACAATTTTTATTTCATCTTTGTGCCAAGTTCAAGTCTTTGTTTGGCTATTCATGTTTTCACTCGCAGAATTCTGCTGAGGGTGGTGACTGACTATGGGCTTTTGGATGTGTTGTTTTTAAGTGTAATCTGTAATCTGAAGTTTTGCTTTCTGTATCATTGTTGCATTGCTATAGGCAGTTGCATTACTGTTTGTTTCGATCTTTGTGATGTTTTATGATTTCGTTTCTTCTCTGGTTCTTTTGATGTCGTCTTTCAATAATAGTGGACCTCTGGTGTGCGGAGTGTACAAGAGCTTTCTTTTGGATGGATTTGAATTAAATCAGGAGTTTTTCTTGCCAACGTGGTCTTTGTTTGTTCTCTTTCCTGGAAAATTCACTGGGGGTACTTGGTGATGGTTTCTATCTGTTGTATTGATTTTAGGGAAGCTTGAACCGGGAGTATTGGCCATGTTTGGTATCCTGCTATTTGGTTTTGGGATGAGATCTTGGATGAGCTTCTCTTTTTCCCTACTTTTTTTTCTATTTTTTGTTCATTTTCTTGAAAAATAATTTTCTTTCTGTGTGCTTTAATTTACTATATCATTTTGTGTTGAGGCTAGGCTTCCAGTGACTGGAAGGTGTGGCGAAGACTTAAGGTCTCTATTGTCAGATCAAAGGCTACTATATTGTTTTGCAGGGGGGTTTTCTTACCTACTCTTACCATTCCTTTCTGCTTGATGTCACGGGCTTTGGTACTTCTGATGTCTATAATTTAAATTTAATTTAAAATTTTCATGATCCCTTTCTTCCATAGTCCACTGTGTTTATGGAAATACCTTATGCATCAATCATTCTGGCAGCAATCACTTTTTTTTTTTTTTGTCAAACTTCAGCTGTATTATATAATGGCAGCAATCACTTGGAAGTCCATGTTCCGATCCTCATTTAAGAGAGCAGCGATTTGCGTATCACTGCTTAATCCCAACTGTTAATTGTGCGGCGACCTGCCCATTTAATTCACTTGCACCTATTTTGCTTCTCCATTAATTTGCGATTAGCTTAATCCCAGGCACTTTCTTTGGGGATTGTTTCTTGTAAACTAATTCTGCCATTGAACATGTATGTATAGCCGGTTCCTGGTGTTTTGATGATTCATCATGATCGGAAAAGTATTAACATTATGCTTGGTATATTAATTAGTTTTGATGGTATGTATATAATCTAAATTTCTGGATGGTTGGGACTAATGGACAACTCTGATATTGGTTTTCATCTTGGTGTCGAATTTTAAGTTGGGTTCTGATGTCCTGGTACTTCCTTGCAGAAATCTAGTCCTAGCAAGAGGATTGTGAAGAAATAGAGGTCTTCTCTTGGATGATGATATTCAGATATCCATGATACTGTGGTTTGAATCATGGAATCTCTCTTCATGCCATCCTGTTATTGTGTTTGTCGAAAACATCACATGCCACTGGTACTGGTATTGTTCAGTCATGTAAGAACAGATGCATACAATATCTGTCTTCGTAGTCATCAACCTACATGCCCCTGGTACTGGTATTGTTTGTGAATTTCATTTCATACTTGAATTTTGGGATCCCCTGGTACATAGGTTTAGTATGCAATTTTAAAGTGCATGTAACTGATTTTTTTTTTTTTTTAAGGAAGTTATTGGACAATATTTGCTTATGACCTTAACAGCCATGGTGTGGCATCAAGGTCCAATCTAAGATCTGCAATAGTTGTATATGCATTGCTGATTTGGGAGGTGGTTAGAACCATTTGTAAATGATTGACAAAATGAGAGGAATCCAAATGCCTTTTTTTCAACTATTGAAAATCATTAATTTGTTTGAAGTGCGTACAACTTTGAGGTTGATTTCGTTGGATTCTTGAAATGGAGGAGTTCCAGGGCAACTTGTCATTTGTTGTGGATGATTTACCTGTGCAAGCTTAAGCCCCTTGAATGTTATAGAAAATTAACTGTCGCATAGTATTTGTTTCACACACTAGTTGATCTCCTATTTGGATGTTCATAACTGATGGTGATAACATAGTTGATTTATAGGTAAAGTCCTGCAGTTATCTTTAAGGGTGAGATTTGGTATGAAAACAAGTGAAGAAGTGTGGGGTAATCGTGGTATATGTTTGTCGAGTCACTTGATTTGTGATACTAGTGGTAAATTTAAGGTTGTCTAATGGGATTCAAGGCCCTCCTCCGTATGGACACACACACACACACAACCCCCCCCCTCTCTTTCCAAAAAATAAAACCCAATAAAAAAAGCATATTATCAAGGAAAGGTGAGATTTGGTATGAAAACAAGATAGTGTGTGGTGATCGAGGTATATGGTTGGTGAATCGCTTGATTTGTGATATTAGTGGTAAATATGTCTAATGGGATTCAAGGTGCTCTTCCGTTTGGACACACACACACACCCCACCACCACCAACAACCCCCCCCCCCCCCGCCCCCCCAAAAAAAAAAAAGAATGCATATTGCTAAGGAAAGGTGTGCTATTCATACAGCTCTCTGGGATAGATTGCTGCAGATGACGAATGATTATTGATGCATAAGTTGTTTTGCTATTTGTGTTAAAACTGATTAATTGAGATTGCTGGGAGACGTTTGTAGCTTGCCTATTGGTGGGGATAGCTAAGTGATTCCCTCGGCCTGTTGGTCTTCTTGACTGCGCTGCATAAGAGTTGGAATTTTTTTTTGTTTTGTTGGAGATGCATCTGTGGCAGCACTTTCTTGTCTGTGGTTCTTGATTGTGGCTTGCTTGTATGCTTGTTTTGTTTTGGTTGGTAGGATGTTTGTAATTCTGCCTGTCACATCAGACAGCCGGCCCCAAGCCTGTCAAAAAGAGGAGGGAAAGCCTGATCTTGTGTGAGATAGTTATTGGTCATTACTAAATATGGTTCTTCCAAGTCTTCCTAATGGATCACAATGTCTTGCTATTTTGTGATCTGGGAAATACTTGCTGATGTTCTTTCCTGTAAGGATGTATTTTTCTCCTCTTTTCATTTGGTGGATTTGTGGATGGCTGGGGCTCCATTCCTCCTCTTTTCAATGGCTTTGTTTTATTGGTCCGTTATCTCGCTAGATTGGTTATTTTTGAAAGGCTTAGGTGAGGCAAGAACTTGAAGCAATGGCTTGTGTTGTTTTATTTGGGGAAGTGAAAACCATTTTTAACTCCAAATCCTGTATGGTGACATATAGTTTAGTTTCTAATGCAAATTACTGTTTGTTTTTAGTCGAAACAATTTCTTCTTGGATGGTTCTTGAAGATCTATATGGATGCGAATGCCTTTTTAAACATCTTATCTTCCATTTCATGCTTTTATCTGATCGTGTAAAGATGTTGGATTCTGTCTAAATTCTATAGAACGACCCCAAACGAAAGTCTAAATTCTACAGAGCGACCCCAAAAGAAAGTGGACGAATGTTGTACGAATTGCTGATGTTGTACTAATCCCCAACCAGAGAAATATTTGGTGTAAACTATTTGGGGAGTTTTTAAATTATTTTAGTTATTTACTTGTAGTCCATGATATTTTATATATTGAATCGGCTCGTCACAATTGAGAGCGTCAAATTTAACGTTTGAAATGGATCAATGGAGTAAAAATTGGATCCACTTGATTTTGAGGAATCAAATTCAAATTTGAAATATATTATTGATCAAAATTTGACGTGGGGCACAAAGGTGCATGTAATGTCCAACTATTGTTGGGAGGTGAGAAAAATTTATGCACCACCACTTGAAAATTGAAATTTGTCATCAAGATTTGTTGTGCTCTATTTTTTATTGGTTAGAATGAGTCTCGGTGGTTACAGAACGAAATAAAACAAAGGAAAAGATTGGCCGACAGTCTTTTTCTTGGTTTCATGACATCATAATGGTTGTAGGCACTTTTTTTTTTTTAGATCCGAAATGAAACTCATTGCGTTATAAGTTACAATGTTCTAGTTTCGCGCGCCAGTACATGAGCTTTCGTTCCTAGTGTTCTCTCAACCTTAACAGTCTGGACTGCAAAAACTTTCGTTACTAGTGTTCTCTCAATCTTAACAGTCTGGACTGCAAAAAAGAACTGGCCAGTACATAAAATGTCTTCGATTATTGAGCGAACCTGTGGCGGACAATTGTCTGGTTTAGCTAGAGCGTGAAGTAGCAAGAGAATCACTTCTAACAAGAACAGATTGCCAGGAAACGGTGCACAGGTTCCTGAGAGCCGACAAACATGGTAGAGCCTCAGTCTGCAAAGCTGTCAATGCATGAACTTGAGTGGAGTGCTGAAAAATCACATTGCCAGTTCTATCTTCAACCACCCATGCTATGGCTGCCTTATGTATCTGAGTCGTTGCTTTAAATGAGCCGTCAATGGTTAGTACCAGCTGACAGTTGTGATGATTTGTCTGTAGTCCATCAAAAAATAGCTCTAGATTCCTTATATTGACTGGCTTCTTGCAAGCGTTAAAGTTTGAACCTTGTTGGAATTGACTCTCCTCTTGCCATGGCAAACCCTTTCGATTCATCCTCTGCACTGCCCGCAGTATCTGCTCTGGGCTAGATTGTACACCTTCCCATATAAATTTATTTCGCTCCAGCCAGATATTCCATAAGATGTGGATGGATAAGATTAAGTCCTCGTCCTCAGGGGCCTCTATTATCCATTGTTGCAGCCAAATAGATAAAGGAATTGGCACACCTGTCTCGAAGTCAAATCCCAGCCGTGATGCTCTCCACAGTCTAATTGAAGTTTGACAATGCAGGAATAAGTGGGAAGACGTTTCTTTATGCTCGCCACAACACAGACAAACTTTCTTTGGAACAAAGCCAAATTAGTAGGACAAGCATTATGCAATAATCGCCACACAAAGAACTGGATACGCGAAGGAATGCTTAAGCTCCAAAGCCGCTTCCAAACCCTATGTGAAATCGATGGCCCATCAGATGATGAGGATGATGACGCACTCTGGCTTTGAGCTATAGTATGGGCCAAATGATAACCTAACTGAATGAGCCCCGCTTTTTTCGAACTCCCATATCATATGATCTTCTCCTCCAGGCTGTGGGATATAAATGGTGAGAATTTTATGGGCTATCTGATTAGGGAACAACACTTCAATCAATGACTCCCTCCAGTTCCTAGAAGAGTCAATCAAGTCTGCAACTTTCATGTTTAGCATTTGGGGCAGATTGGAAATGTCGCAAAGGGGTTTTGGCAATCAGGAATCCAGTTGTCCTCCAACTTTATTTTTGTTCCATTTACCACTCGCCACTTTAGCCCCAGCTTTAGTAGGTCACTTCCTCACAGGATACTTCGCCATCCCAAAGTTGCATGAGTTGCACAACGCACACTTAGAAAGTTAGTTTGTCGACAGTACTTGGCTACAAACGGACGGCTAAACAGATTCTCCGGCTGAGAAAGTATTCGCCAAGCTGATTTGGCAACTAAAGCCCTGTTCATTTCTTCTGTGGATCTCATTCCTAATCCCCCTCTGAATTTGGACCGAGTTAGAATAGATCATGCTTTCCAATGAATTCCACGCCCATCAACATCCCCGGTCCAGATGAATCGCGCTATATATTTATCAATAGACTTGGCTATAGTGCGCGGAACATTGAAAGGGTATACTGTGACAGTGCACTTAGCACACGTTTTGCTAACACGATTCTGCCCATAACTGAAAGATTGGATGACCTCCATTTCCCAATACGCTTGGAGATTTGTGATTTGAGATGAGCAAACAGATTTTTTTTTGGGAAAAATCCATATTGAGCCGCAGGTATCTTCCCATTCCTTCTACTACTTGAATATGAAGTACTCTTGAAATGGCCATTTTGATTTCAGCGGGCGTGTTGGGGCTAACAGCAAGGCTAGACTTAGCAAAGTTAATTTCCTGCCCCGAAACATGTCGGTATATATCAAGCTCATCTTTTTAACTTCCCAGCCGCCTCTATGGTACATTTAAAAAATACCATAATGTCATCTGCAAACATCAAGCGGGATAGAGGGGGACCACCACGACAAATCCATAGCGGCGGCCATGAGTTCGTCTCTGCAAGATTTGTTAGGAGAGAGGACAGAGCTTGTTGGCGTATAATGAATAAATAAGGAGATAATGGACAACCTTGACGGAGACGTCGAGTGGATAAATGATAGGTGAAGGCACCCCATTAACAATAATTGAGGCAGAGACTGAGGATATGCATTGTGAAATGATCCTGATCCAAGAATCTGGAAAGCCCATTTTATGAAGCATTGCTACTAAAAATTGCCAAGATACCCTGTCATAGGCTTTGCTGATATCGAGCTTTAAGGCCGCTAAATAGGTCTTACCCTGCTTCCTCTTCCTTATAAACTCCAGCACCTCATGAGCTATAAGGGCATTATCCGAGATTAGTCTTCCTGGGACAAAAGCATTTTGATAGGGGGCTACCAACTTTGTGATCTTATGCCTTAGCCGATTGACCAACATTTTGGCGACAATTTTGTACAAAACATTACAGAGGCTTATCGGTCGAAAGTCCGAAACCTTTGTGAGACACGGTGATTTTGGGATGAGGACAATATTTGTGTGATTCAAACCTTCTGATGCCAGCCCCGAATGGCAAAACTGTAAGACTGCTTTGGTGACCTCTGGACCAACTATGTCCCAGTAATGTTAAAAAAATCCCGCTGGAAACCCATCTGGTCCTGACGCCTTCCATTTGCCCATTTGGAAAACTGCCGCTTGAACCTCATCTGAAGTAAACTCCTGTTGTAAGAAACTTCTGTCTTCATCATTTAAACAACCATTTACACTGGCTAAGATAGGCTCAAATTCAGCCAGTCTTTCCTGATTTAGGGAAAGGTCTATAGAACCTCTGGATGTTTGGCCTCGATATAAATTCAAAAAGTAATGCAAGATGTGATTACTGATGGCAGTTGGGTCAGAAATCCAGTTACCGGCGTCATCTGACAAATTGGAGATATGCGTTTTAGCTCTTTTTTTTGTCGCCCATTGATGATAAAACTTTGTGTTACGGTCCCCTTGTGACGCCCATCTGACAGAAGATCTTTGAGTCCAGTAATCTTGTTTGCAATCCAATAAGAAATCCAGATATTTCCTCGACTGGCAGTCATACTGAATTGCCCTTGTATTGTTGATTTGACCTTGGAGCCATTGTAGGGGCAATTGGGTTTGATTGATCTTATTATCCAAATTACCGTAGGACGACCTATGCCAACGGGTTAGATGTGTAATAGTATTCTGAAGATTCTTAGTTACCCCTTGCATTTTATTGCCTGCTTGTTGCATATTTGGGTTCCTCCATACCTTGCTAACAATGGTTCTACATGCAGAATCTCTAACCCAAAAGGATTCAAATTTTAAAATTCTATTCATTCTCTTAGATGCCTGTTTCGTATCAAGAATTAGTGGACCATGATCTGAACGCATAATTGGGAGATTTCGAAGCATTGCATTGAGAAATAATTGCAGCCATGACTGAGTGAGGGCTGCAAACGAGCCGAGTCGAGTCGAGCTTTGAGCTAATCGAGCCGAGTCTCAACTAAATTTTACCAAGCTCGAGCTCGACGAGCCGGCAAATTTCGAGCTCGAGCTCGACTCGAATCAAGTCGAGCCGAGCTCGAGCTCAAAAAAAAATAAAAAATAAATATTTTATTTAAAAAATAAATAAATAAAATAATATTTTTTTCTTAATAAATAATAAAATATTAAGGACATATACGTAATTTTACTTTGAAAATAAAAAATAAAAAATATATATATAATATACGTAATTTTATTATTAAATAAAAAAAAATATATATATATATCCAAGCTCGCGAGTCGGCTTAATATTCTGAACTTGACCCGCGAGCAACGAGTTTAATATTCTGAGCTCAAGCTCGAGCTCGACTCGAGTTCGATTAACATCGACCTCGACTCGAGCTTGACTCGAGCCGCTCGCGATTCGTGTGCAGCCCTATGAGTGACAAAAGCCCTATCTAATTGATCAAAGGTGGCATGAGAACTGGACCTTGAATTTGTCCATGTATACCAAACGCCCAGGTGTTGTAACTCTGACAGGCCCAAGTCGGACAAAAAGAAGCGAAATTGGTGCGAACCCTTTGGAGATCTTTTAGAAAAGCTTAGTCTATCTTGATCATTTAAAATCTGATTGAAGTATCCCACAATGGCAAACGGTTGATTACAAGGGAAAAGTTTTGAATTTACTTCTTGCCGGACATTGTGCCTTTTTTTTGCAAATTAGGATGACCATAAAAAAGAAACAGGACCCATAGGAGGCCAGATAGCTCAGTTACCTGTACACAGAAATAGTTAACATGCTTTGAAATAACTTGGACCTTAACTGAGTCACACCAAGCTAAACACAAACCACCACCACCTTGAGTAGTAGGGGGTACCAAATCCCAAAAGGAGAAATAAGAGGCGTCTAACCAACTAACAAGCCTTATAGTCGTGCATTTGGTTTCCATGAGAAATAAAACGTTAGGTGCATAAAACGTTAGTTGTAGGCACTTAAACATTGCATTATTCTTTTTTAGAGACAACAAAATTCATTGCTAAACCTTCAATTACAACGTTCTGGTTACATATGCCAGATTATGGGCTTTCATTACTAAGGATCTTGCAACCTTAACAACCTGGACTACAAAGAAAGACTTGTAAGGTGTCTTCTATTATAGAGCGAATATGTGAAGGACAATTCTCTGGTTTAGCTAGAGAATGAATATTTTATTTTGCCAACTTTGCTACAAGTTTTTTAAAAACTTTAACTACAGTAACCTCAAAAAACTTTTCAATGTTTTTAAACTATACACTTGATCAAAATATTAAAGAAAAAACACACTTTAAAAATTTTTAAAAAAATTTCTACAGTAAGTTACAGTAAAGTTTTAGACAAACACTCAAAAAACTCACCTTCCAAACGGGGTAGAAGTAGCAAGAGAGAATCAGTTCTGACTTGGATCAGAATGGCAGGGGATGCTGCAAAGATGTTTAAGAGCCCACAAATATGCTAGAACCTGTCTGCAAAGCTGTCAAAGCGTGAATTTGGATGGAATGCTGAAAGATCAATTTGCCAGTGTTATCTTCAACAACCCATGCTATGGCTGCATTATGCGTATGATCGCTTACTTGAAAGATTGCATTATTCGAATCTTAGGTAGCTCATGCTTTTCTTGTGTATGCCATTTTGCTCTTTTTTTTTTTAACTTATTTTTGTATTTGACTTATTTCAGAAGTTGTTTATTTTTTTTTTATCAAAACGGCAACATTTCATTTATAGACTAACTCAGATTACAATTTTTGGAGCAACTGCCCCTACAATCTGCTTGTACCAACTCAAGCAACCAAACTGGGAAGTCTGACTTCCATTCAGCAGTTTCTTTCAAATTTGTAGCAAATTTAGCTACCTGATGACTAACAGAGTTGCTTCTCCTTCTAGTGAAGGAGAAGCAACATTCAGAAGTT